CCTTGATGACTAGTGACACTGAGTGCCTTGCAGCCTGGCTACTTCCCCTGGGTGTATCTTCTTGGTCATCACATCACACATACACAAGAATACACAAGTAAAGACAGTAACAAAGTTAAGGGTGGGAAAGAAGACTTGGTGGTTAAGAGTGCTTGCTGCTCCAAAGGACCTGAGTTCAGTTCTCAGCACCCATAGCAAGAAGCTCACAGCTGCCTGGAACTCCCATGAGTCCCAATTGCAATTCAGCAAAAGTAGCCTGTTGTGCCTGGGAATTTGAGCTTCCTTTTGGCTTCTGAGCCTTTCTTCTGCTCCCAGGGGCTGTGACAATCACCATTTTTCTTCCGGGGGCCCTGAAATCACCACAGTGGCTGTTAGAAGACAGTCTACTACCATTTTGCACAAGGTTCAGGTGTCTTCCAACCCATGTTCCTCAGGCCCTGGCTGCCACTCAGAGGGTTCAAGTCCCAGAGCTGCAAACACAAAACAACACATCCTTTGAATGGTTTGAATTATTTTATTTATTGTGACTATTATTAGTGTGTGTGCATGTAGGGGGCAGAGCTCAGATCATCCTCTTAGCCATCACCATTTGATATGCTCAACCTATAATCTATGACTCCGTTGTCCCATTCAATGAAAAAAGAAGAAGTAAAAAGGAAAGGCCATGACTGTTCCTAGGGATAGTGGAGAAGAAAGGTTATTGTAGATAAAAAAGGGAGGGCATAGCCAGAGGCAGGGACATCCAGGAGAGTCCAGAGTGGGCGTGGCCCGAGCCATGTGAGGAGAGGTGGGTAGGGAAGGGAGAGGGAAGAGAGAGGAACCAGGTGCAGCAGCCAGGAGGGCAAAGGTACTAAAGGGTGGGTAACCAACATGGCTGGAGTATACAGGGAAGAGCCTCTGGGGGAAGGGCGGCCCAGCCTCTGGGCTGGAGAGGCCAGGGTGGAGGGCAGAGTGTGCCAGCCATACCCTGTAACAGGTAGGGGTTGAGGGATGCTGGGAGAACCTGGTGGCCAGGTCCGCTTTGATCTGTTAAAGAGGCACCTGAACCATTTGTCCCGGGAGACTTAACACCCATACCTGGTCAACAGAATTTCTCTGAACCGGACAGATGGAAAGTGGTGCTTTGATGGCATTTTCATTTGTTTTTTTTTTCTTTTTTTTTTTTTTTTTTTGGTTTTTCGAGACAGGGTTTCTCTGTAGTTTTGCGCCTTTCCTGGAACTCACTTGGTAGCCCAGGCTGGCCTCAAACTCACAGAGATCCGCCTGGCTCTGCCTCCCGAGTGCTGGGATTAAAGGCGTGCGCCACCACCGCCCGGCGGCATTTTCATTTGTATGCCTCTTATTAAAAGTGAGGTTATAACTTTTCTAAAACGTTGAATGGGGGTTGGTAAGATGGCTGGGTGGGCAAAAGAGCTTGCCATAGGAGCCTAAATTCGATCCCTAGACCCATGGTGGGAGGACAGAAACAACTCCAAAAAGTCGTCTTTGACCCCCTACACCCCCCACATGCACACACACTAATAATAGTCACAATAAATAAAATAATTCAAACCATTCAAAGGGTGTGTTGTTTTGTTTTTGCAGCTCTGGGACTTGAACCCAGAGTTCCTGGTTGATAAGCAAATGATCTAACACTGAGCTGTATTCCCAGCCCTTATAGGTCATTTTATTTCTTATAGGAACTAAGCATTCATCTATTTTATTCAAGTTTGATGATGTTGTTGACATTTTTTAAAAAGCTCTTTGTATTTTAAAGGTATTATCCCTATATTATATAAATTAATGTCACAATTTGTCACTTCATAGTAAACTTTACCTATGGCGATGTGTGTTATCCCCCCGCCCCCCTCCATGTTTATGTGTGCTTCTTCAAGCAGAAGATTTTTTTTTAATGGGAGACTGGAGAGATGACTCAGTTCCTAGCACCCACATTTGGTGGCAGCTCACAGCCACCTGAAACTCCAGCTCTAGGGGATCCAGCACCCTCTTCTGGTCTTCAGGGACACCAGCAAACATGCAGAAACAGATACACATAAATAAAAGAAAATAAAATTTAAAAATTTTTTGGAGAGTGCTGGAGATCAGACATTGAACTGAGGGTCTCATGCATGCTAAGCAAATCTATCCAGCTCTATCCCCAACTCTAAAAGAAGTTTTGATAGTCAATTCATCAACCTTTTATTTCCTTTAGACTTTTATTTAATATGAATATAGGTTTTAATTATGTTTCATTTTTCACACTTACATTTCTGAACAATTTAAAATTTATCTGGATACACAATGTAAGAAATATACTTACTTAAGTCAGGCTTGGTGGCACAGCACTTGGGAGGCAGAGGCAGGCGGATCTTTATCCTGGTCTACATAATGAGTTCCAGGACAGCCAGGGCCATGTACGGAGACCTTATTTGAAAAAAAAAAAAAAAAGAAAAGGAAAGGAAAAAGAAAGAAAATAAAAATCAGTTAGAAATGTACCTGTTTTTTGTTTGTTTGTTTGTTTTGACACAGGCTTTTACACTGTAGTCCAGGATAGACTGAAATTTACCATGTGTCCCAGACTAGCCTCAAACTCACAACAATCCTCTCAGCCTCCCCAGTGCTGACATCGCAAGGTGTGAACCACTATACCCAACAGGCCCAATTTAAAGTATTTACAAACGACTGTCCAGTGTCTTAATTTATTAAAAATTTCAGGGGCTGGAGGGATGGCTCAGAGCACTGGCTGCTCTTCCAGGGGTCCTGAGTTCAATTCCCAGCAACCACATGGTGGCTCACAACCATCTGTAATGAGATCTGGTGCCCTCTTCTGGCCTACAGGCAACATGCAGGCAGAACACTGTATACATAATAAATAAATAAATCCTTTAAAAAAAAATTTTCATCTTCCCTTTCTACCATAGTGCCCTCCTAATCCTAATTTAGAACTTCCAAATGTTAGTTCTATTCCTCAGGTTTCCCTTCTATTTCGCGCGCGCGCGCGCGCGTGTGTGTGTGTGTGTGTGTGTGTGTGTGTGTGTGTGTGTGTGTGTGTAGGAGTTACTGAAAACTGACCCTAGGGCCTGTGCATACGCGTGTGTTCTAAAACTCCAGCCTCTTCTCTGTATGTTTGTTGTTTGTTTTCAAGACAGGGTTTCTCTGTGTAGCACTGGCTGTCCAGGAACTCGCTGTGTAGACCAGGCTGGCCTCCAACTGATCAGCCTGCACCAAACCCCAAGCCCTCAGTGCTGAGATTAAAGTAGTGTACCATCACCACCTGGCTTCTGTATATTTATTGGTAGTTATCAATAACACATTTCTAAAATTACAGGCTCTCTCTTCTCTGTCTGTCTGTCTGTCTCTCTCTCTTTCTCTGAGACAGAGTTTCTCTGTATGGCTTTGGTGCCTTTCCTGGAACTTACTCTGTAGCCCAGGCTGACCTCAAACTCACAGTGATCCACCTGCCTCTGCCTCCCGTGCTGGGATTAAAGGCGTGCGCCACCATCACCTGGCAGTGCTCTATATTTTAACATTTAAGTGAGGCTAGTTTCCCACCACGTAGGACACTGAAAGCTTTTTCTAGGATATTTTTGTTTGCTTAGGTTTTTTCCTTTAATTTTTTTTTTTTTTTGAAATATGGTTTTGCTGTAGCCCAGGATATTCTGAAACTTGCTATTTAGAGTACACTGACCTAAAAACAAAACAAAAAACTGAAAACCATTGCAGTAGAAAAGTGTATTCTTTCCCTTTTTTTTGTCCAGTTTTTTCTTCTTTTCCTATCTCCGTTTGTCCCCCACTCTCTTTTTCTTTCTGGGGTAGGGCCTTGAGTGTCTCAGGCTGGAACTAGACATGTAGCTGAGGATAACCCTGAGCTCTTGATCTTCCGGCCTCACCCTCCCAGGTGCAGGAATCACAGCCAGGCAGCCACGAAGCTGAGTTCAATTACTCAACCAAACAAAGGTAAACTTTTTTCCGGAGAGCTGATTGTTCGGAGTTTATAGCCAGTCCGCCTCTATCCACGTAACTTCTTAGTTTTTCTATTTCTGACCTATGCTGTACTTTTAAAGCGCCCACTATTTTAATTTCATTTTAGGTCATGTCAAAGCTTCCATGGCTTTGCGACCGCATTTTCTTTTGTTTTGGGGTGGTTTGTTGGGACATTCATGGGCTCATTTTCACCTCCGAGCGTCCACAGTCCACAGGACTACTTCGGGGCCCTCCTCGGCCTGGGTGCTTCTGCAGCTGCGCAGGAGGATGAGCGGCCCCGCCCTCACGGCTGGCCCCGCCCCAGGTTGGCCCCGCCCTCACGGCTGGCCCCGCCCTCACGGCTGGCCCCGCCCCCGCAGCGCGCTGGTTCGGTCTGGCGTGCGCCAGCTTGGCTGGCGGCTTCGCGCCTGGAGGCCGTGCGTGCCGGAAGGCGGCTGTTTGCTTTCCCGCCGTTTCCAGGGCCTCCTCGTGAGAGAACCGGGTGGTCTGAGCTCTGAAGCGCGGGATCCCGAGCTGGTAGGGACGCGAGCGAGACAGGCCAGCTGGAGGCCGCGGCCTCCCTCGGGCCTCGGCCCCGGCCAGTCAGGGCCACCAGGGCTTCACTCTGGTGAAGGCGCGACTGGAACCCGAGCCCTGGTGCTGTGCGAACGAACGGTTTAGTCAGGTTTATTATTGTTGTTATTTTTGTTTGTTTGTTTAAGACAGGTTCGCCCTGCCTAGCCCCGGCTCTCCAGGACCTCGCTGTGTAGACCAGGCTGGCCCCGAATTCACACGCCCCTGCCTGCCTCTTGAATCCTGGGGTTCAGGCATGTGCCATCTCACCCTACTATTTAGTAAATTCAAGAAGGTTGTGCATTTACTGGTGGGGGGCGTGGGGGGCGTGCCCATGTGAATAACGAGGGGGGGACAGAAGGCAGCCTGGGGGGGGTCTGTTCAACCTGTGGGTCCCAGGTACCGAACTCACGTGACCAGGATTAACACCAAGCACCATCACCCGCCTGCCTTCAGCAGTTTTTAATTTTTTTCTGTCATAAATCTTAAGTGGCGGATTTTTTTTTTTTTTTAACTGAGACAGGGTCTCACTATGTAACTGGCCTTGAACCCACAGAGGTCCACTTGCTTCTTTCTGCCTCCTGAGTTCTGGGACTCAAGGTGTGTGTCACCTCGCTGGGTAACTGACAGAATTTTTAAGGTGCGAAGTATCCCCCATTCACTTAGTCAACTTCTCCATAACCTGGAACTCTAAAGATGAAGAATTGTTGAGAGAAAAGAATTGTGGTAGGGAAATAGTAACTTGTTTTATTTTTCCAATTTAAAGAATTAAATTAATAAGTCTTATTAAATAGCATATTCATAGTCAACATATTTTGTGTTGTTTATAGTTCACCGCTTTATTTTTCAAATGTCAGTTTCTTCATTTAAAAAAAAATCCTACAGCCTAGTCTGTAAAGTGAGTTCCAGAACAGCCAGGGCTACACAAGAGAAACACTATCTTGAAAAACAAATAAAGCCCACAAAGTGGGCTAACACGATGCTCAGGGGGTAAAGGTGGTTGCCATTTCTGTGGAACTCATGATCCCCAGAATCAACTTGGTAGAAGGAGAAAAACCAACTCCCAAAAGTTGTCCTAGAACCTCCACACTTGCCTGTGGCACATGTTTGCTCCACCCACCAAATACTCTTTTTTTGAAATCCCACATAATCATTCATTTGGTTATATACTTAAGTCATAAAAAAAATAGCTTTAATCCTAGTGCTCAGGAGACAGAGGCAGGCAGATCTGAGTTTGAGGCCAGCCTGGTCTATAGAGTTCTAGGACAGCCAGAACTACACAGAGAAACCCTGTCTTGAAAAACAAAACAAAGATTGCTGTTGTCAGGAAAAAAAAAACAAAAAACAGAATCATACCATACAAATTATGGTACGATTACCATGTGAACCCAAGGGCTCTATAATGTAAGAACATGAATTTTCCACAGAATCAGGACACTTGGGTTCTAATCCCAGGATTGCCAGTAAAGATGGAACTTTGGACAAGTTTGCTAGTTAGAGTTATATTCAATGTAAGTCTTCTGAAAAAGAAAAAAAAAAAGATGAATCTGGTCAAAACATGACTTTACACCTTCCAGACCTGTGGCTGGGTTTCTGTGGAGTAGAAGGTGTGTGTGTGTGTAAACCGAGACTATTATCACTCAACTGTTTGTTTCCCTTGTATAAAAGGTGTCCAAGTAACTAATGTGTGATCTTCTGATCCACTAATCTCTGCTGGCTCCTTTCTCTGCCCTATTACAGGAAACCTGTAAAATAAAGATGTGGGCTGGGCCTGGGGCTCAGTGGTAAAGTACTTGTTTAATGTTTACAAGGCTCCAGGTTTGATTCACAGCGCCACACAAATATGGTGGCATGTTTTCATTTTTTTTTTAAAGATTTATTTATTTATTATGTATACAGAAGAGGGCGCCAGATCTCATTATAGATGTTTGTGAGCCACCATGTGGTTGCTGGGAATTGAACTCAGGACCTCTGTAAGAGTAGTTGGTGCTCTTAACCTCTGAGCCATCTCTCCAGCCCGCATGTTTTCATTTTTAAAGATTGTTTTTCTAGTTACAAATTGGAATATGAGTTAAGCTAGAAAATGTAGAAAACAAAAATGAGAGTAAAGGCAGACACATAAATACAAATACAACCTTACCACTCCACGAAAAGAAAAGCCTGGTTTCTGTCTTCCTATGTCTTTTTATTTTTACACACATAAACACACATGCATGCACGTGAATGTTTGATGACATCTAGTGACTGTAGTTTGCTGACTTTTTTCCTTGTGTTATATGTATATCCCTACAGACAAATAGAATGCCCACAGATTTGTTCCTACATCCATTACTATCAAAAGTTAAGCAAACAGTGTTATGTCAGTTTTGGAACAGCTATAATTATATTATGCTCCACATTCTTCGTATTCTTTCTCTGCTCCAGAATGGATTGGTTTCATTGCAACCAGTGTTACCGAAAGGATGGGGCCCATTTCTTTGTCACCAGTTGTGGCCATATTTTCTGTAAAAAGTGTATGACTCTGGGTGAGTGGCTTCAATTTATCCCAAAATTTTTAACTTAGATATAATAGGTAGCCATTTCTCTGTGTGATGTAGAATAAAAATCACTTGGTAGGCATCAGTGATAATGTGGATACTATAGGCAGCTGCCCATTTTGGAAATTAAAAGAATCCATTGGTAAAAGAGAGAAGCTAAGCAATTTAGCAGATGTGTTACTCTTCAGTGTTTTGAGTTGTGTCAGGAAAAGCCATAATGAATGGAGAATTATGTTAATATCTTAGAGTTTAATAAGCAATTTACTATGCATTTCTTTATTTGGCAGTGCTGAGTATAGAACCTAGGGCTTTGCACATGCTGGGCAAATGCTCTACCAGGGAGCTACATTCCAGGCCCTATACAATTTAAAGAATTAAATTACAATGTCTATTTTCAATAAACAAATTTTTAAAATAGTTTTTGTTTTTCCTGTTTTTTTTTTTTAAGATTTATTTATTTATTATGTATACAGTGTTCTGTCTGCACGTATGACTGCAGGCCAGAAGAGGGCACCAGATCTCAATACAGATGGTTGTGAGCCACCATGTGGTTGCTGCTCTGGAATAGCCGTCAGTGCTCTTAACCTCTGAGCCACCTCTCCAGCCCCTTCCTGTTGTTTTTGAGGCAAAAATCTTACTATCTAGCCTTGACTGTCCTTGAATTCACAATCTTCCTGCCTCAGCCTCCCAAGTTCTGGGATTTCAGATATGTATCATCATACCCAGCCACCAGTACCAGTTTTATGTAATCTTCACCACAGTCCTTGGTAGTAATTACTGGTAGCACTGTTTTACAAATGAGGAAATTATCTCAGAGAGTAAATGATTGCCAACTTCTTGCAACGCAAGTTTTAGAAAGGAAATTTGAAGACCATGTGGAGCATGGTGGCACAAGCCATTTATTTATTTATTTATTTATTTATTTATTTATTTATTTATTTATTTAGGTTTTTCAAGACAGGGTTTCTCTGTGTAGCTTTGCTCCTTTCCTGGAACTCGCTTTGGAGACCAGGCTGGCCTCGAACTCACAGAGATCCGCCTGCCTCTGCCTCCCGAGTGCTGGG